ATGTATGAATTACCACCGTTTTGCCGCGTTTCTCTATTAACAGTGAAGCTGTGTCTTTAATTCCTTTAGAAACAATGATGTTACCAGCTCCTTGTTGAGAAAGTTAATGTAGCTCTTGAGCGATTAAGCTATTTAGTTGATAAAATTGCGGGGCAGTGCAAAAAGTTTGTTCTTGAATGTCTGAGTGCGTGAACGAGCGTGTGTGCGTTAGATACAGTGAAGACAGCGCATTAGTTTAGAACTCTTCTAATTTTTTTGTTTTTTTAAACGTAGAGTGTGTTAATTTGTGCAATGATAACCTACCAGCAATGTAAATATGATTTTTTAATATATTAGAATGAGTACATTACACTATAAATTTATTAGAATGAGTACATTATTACTTATGGGCTTAAAAACAAGATGCAAACAATCAGAATATTGTACCTGGTGGGGAGTGCCCAATGCAAACATGGAACATATGCCATTACCTATATTGTAGGCTACTGTGGTACAGCTATGGAGGCCCTTCATAATGCAGAGGTCAACTGCCTGCTCTGCCAATAGTTAGAAATGGTACTATAGTATGCAGTGTTTAATAAACAGCTGTTTTACTAAACTCTTCTGAGGTGAAATTCAATGCAGTCCCGTATCGTGATATGTATCGTATCGTGGCCTCTGTATCGTGATACGTATCATATCGTGACTTTGCTGGTGATACACAGCTCTAGTGTGCAGTGTGGGTTGGTGTTTGTGTCGCACCTGTGTGGATCTGCCGGTGGGCCTCAAGAGCATCTTCCTTCTGAAACTGAGCTCCACACTGGTCACAAACGATGGCTTTCTCACCAGCTACAAGACAAAAAAAATAGTTATTCAATCTACATCACTTTGGAGGTCCTCGGGTGGTGCATGGTGTCATATCTCTTATTTGAACCCCCAGTAATACGTAAAATGATTTGGTGCCTGCGAGCTGGAAGTCTGCTGGATTCACTTCAGTAAAACTTGCTGGCAAAAACACCGTTTACAATGTATTTTGGAGGATATGTATGCCAGACGTTGATCTTGTGTGCACTGTGCAACGAAAGCAATGTATCATAAGAGGGGTTTATCATTCAAGGCACACTTTCACTAAAAATCACATAAATGCTGTCAAACACAACCCTAAAAAGAAGATAAAAACAAGAAGCCATACATATCACATCCGCATAGCATGTTCAGATGTTGCAATGGGACACCAAGAGGAACTGTGAGACCACAGGATGCCAATATACAATCTGATCTATAAATCAGAATTAAGCAGAAACACTGTATTGCATTCACACTGTATTTATCTGCTTGATCAAAAGGGAGTTTTTAAAATTTGTAACAGAACTGTCAGCTCTCGTCATTATGTCTTTAAATACTACCGCCTTCACAAGCACAACAGGAAGTCATAGCTTAGATTAAAAAAACCAAACCAAAGTCCATTTCGCAACCACTGTAAAGTTGCAAAATGTACTGTACGGTCAAGCAGTAGAAAAAAAGAGTTTTTCTTTCTTTTCTTGCAGATGATGCCACTCAGCAATAAACTTATAAATGTGGCACAGACAAGTTCCTCTAAATGGCTCAAGAAATCAAACATCATTATTAAAACAAAAAACTGCACATAAAGAGGAACTACCACAGACCTCAGAACTGGTTACTTCAGTGTATTCATACCCAATAATTGTTAACCATAAAACATTGTTTCTTCTGCAATGGGTGCTGTGTTTAAAGTGCAGAGAAACTGTAAGTAAGCAAACCGAAGTTTAACTTTCCAAAAACTGTAAATACGGTCTCTATGGAAAATTCAAAACATTGCTGCTTGAGTGGTCCGACATCTCAACTTCTGGCTTGATCATTTGTATAATATTGGGGTGGACTACCTGTTTGAATTTGAATTAAATTAGCATTGAAGTGGCAAAAAGGATGCAGAATGATCAAATGACAGATAGATATACAGTACAGATATGACAGACAGACAAAACGATAGAATGATAAATATATAGAACAAACTATAGAACAAACAATAGAACAAACGTTAAAACAATGGCAGAACAATATACACTAGCTGCATTTACTTTATTCTTCAAATTGTGCAAACTGAAATTGCGAATTGAAAATACACCCAATGGAAACGCGTCAATTTTGCAAAAACTCCCATATATCGCAAAAAGTTTTTACGCTCACATGAGGTGGTTTTTCAGGCAATTTGAAATGGCCAAAAACTGCAAGGGAAAGTTCGCATTTACAGGTCACCTGGTGTAAGTAAAAGTCACATGATCATTCTTTAATGTACTATAACCTCCAAGAAACACCTCATATGTTGCCACTCAAGTATAAGGGGCTTTCCTTGACAATAATGCTTGCAATAATGCAATAATGCACAGCCACACTAGTCAATGCTTGTGTTTATTTCAGACACGCCACGGCATGTTTCAGAAGCGGCTCTTCGCACTGCTTCGCTAAAGATATACACCTACGTCTCGTTCGATTAAAAATAATGGCTAGTGTGGTGGCTGTGATATACATAAACCTACAAACATCTGTCACCATGACTTATCGCAAGAGGAAAAAATTGTTTTAGTCGGGTAAGTTTGGTTAATGGAAACACTGTCATTACGCAATAGCTTTTTTATCGACATATATAAAATATCGCAAAAGTTTTGCACAAATCTGTAATGGAGGCACGACTAGATAGATAGAATGATAGATAGGCAGATAGACAGAGTTAGATAAAAATACATAGACAGATAGATTTTGCCCAATCCTGGTATTAACCTCCTGGGGTCGACAGTTCCGCCAGCGGAACTTTTTGCAGATTTGAATGATGACAGCGAAAAGAACTAAAATGCTCCTTCATACTTGACCGTACATATAAGAGTAATACAGCATTTAAATCTGTAAAGGGTCTACTTTTATTTGTGTACACTCACAATATCAACAAAACATTGTGCTTTTGCAAAATAAAGAAAATAAACAGGGTGTGCTTTTAGCCGTCTCATTCTCCGCGCATATCTGTTTGAAACGCATCACTAAAATGAACTGAAACTCAGCGAATATTTGACACACACACATGAGAGATATATCTATAGAAAGCTTAACATGTCTACTTTTAAACGAAGTAAGTCATGACAAAAACTAATATTATGTGACAAAGTAATCGGTATGAACCAACGCGATGTCAAGTCTTGGCCGTCGCCTTCATTATTGCTAAATATACAGGGTGTGCTTTTAGCCGTCTCATTCTCCGCGCATATCTGTTTGAAACGCGTCACTAAAATGAACTGAAACTCAGCGAATATTTGACACACACACATGAGAGATATATCTATAGAAAGCTTAACATGTCTACTTTGTCATGACGAAAACAAATATTATGTGACAAAGTAATCAGTATGAAACCAACGCGATGTCAAGTCTTGGCCGTCGCCTTCATTATCGCTAATGTGACCACGCCCACGCGCCGATCGCGCTTTTGTTATTACAATAGTCCACGTGAGACGCGCGCATGTAAACGCCCACATCACAGCAAACAAAGCAGCGAGACTTTTCCTAAAGTTCATCCCAGCTACTTCGCTTCTGGAAGAAGACGCGCTGAGAGAAATAAGCTTTGGATTTTCCTCAGAAGAACGCGCCGGCGTGATATTCAGTGGAGGATATAGTAAGTCTTTTTTTATTTGCCTACTTGCATTAGTTGCTATTGTGTTACTGTGACATAACTTGTACATATTGTACTAGTTACTTTTTCCAAACCATGATTCCTGACTAAATGTACAATCAAGCAAAACATTATGAAGATTAATTCACTGCATATATGTCTCACAACGCCAGGAAGTTTTGTTGTATGTTCTATAAAATAGACAGCAACGATATAAAAGTAATGTGAGTTATAATGTTAATATGTTGAATGTTTTATACTCGGTCATTGGCGTTCGCGATCGTCTGATGTGTAAACGTATCAAGTAAGCTGTAAATAAGTGATGCATCGACAGACATATACGCACGTCCTTTCTTATCAGTGATGCAATTTATTTATCAGCTATGCATCTTCTGGTAATTGCTAACAACTATTTAAATTTTCGTTTAGGACTGTGGCTGCATCACTCGCATAATTGCACAAGAAAGGCACACGTGTCGTTCAGTTTTGAGTTCGCTGGAAAATCATACTGAGTAAGTGCACAGTATAGTAATTGTACTTTTATTATGCCTAGACTATATGGTAATATTATTTGTGGTTGATAGTGTTAAAATGTAGTTTCTTTGTTATTGGCATTCTGTTTTCTCATGAAGTATGCATACTATACTAAGGTACTGTGGGAAAAAATGCTTACAATTGTTTATAAAATTCTTTTAGGACGGTATACACCACTCTTGCCTTCACCTGCATCTCTCACAGTAAGGGGACGTTCGTTCAGTTTTCAACTCCATTCAGAATCTTAGAGTAAGTGTTCATTCACTATTTTACAGATGTTACTTTCATTTGATTTATTTGCTGTATGGTACACTATTTTTGCTATGTGGTAATTGTGTTCTTTGTTTCGATAAATTAGTACTAGTATCCGTGAACATCATAATAATGTTAATAATGTAGTTTGTGTAAACAGCATGCTTGCTTTTTTATTTCAGATGTGAGAATAACAGTGTAAAAGAACCTGTTGCAAAGAGAGCCAAAGCAAAGCAGCCCACTTGGTCATGGAAATGGAGATTCCTGCCTGCACAAGAACCTGGACCACAGCTAAGACCATGTGATGCACACACTCCCTTGAGTTATTTTATGTGAGAGTTATATGTATTCTAAATAAACTACAAATAAAAAATATATACATTTAAATGAGCCTATTTTCAAAAATAGTGGAGTGTTCCTTTAAGAAGATCTTGCATCTGGCCATGGAGCAGAAAGGTCCAGGAACTAAAGTAGCTTGAGATGGAGGGCCAGCGGGACATTGATCACCACCTTAAGTGGCAGAGAGGGAAAAGCCAGACCTTAATACCCACCCCACAACATAAACGGCAGCTTATTGAAGCGGGTCATTATCTCACAGGGGGTGACAACATCCAGCCACCCAGTAGGCCCAGCAAAAGTCATGGAATTAAAGTGATAAATTCTAGCCTCTCCCTTTGATCAATAGCGATTTTCTTGTTAAGCACGACAAAAAGCGTGAAGGAAAAACACCTCCCTCAGATTTGGCAGAATTCATTCCCCACTTTCAAACCCCTTCCCACCAAAGACAAAAACAGAGACTAGTGCTAGAAATATCTGCCTCTCCAGCAAAAAAGAAAACTACAACAAAAAAAACTGTGGCTATAAAAGAATCTCTCTCTAGCAACTCCCACTTCCTCCCTCCTTTACTCGGAGTTGCCACAGCGATGCCGACTTGTCATAATAGGCCCTTACACAACCGTGGCTCCCAACAAGTGGAGGAGAGGTGCCACGTGCCACGGGCCCATTCCTTTTTCACTTCCCTCCTCTGAATGTATTGCACAACCGAAACCCTGGGATTTACTGTTTCCGAAGAGGATGCCTCGCCGATCTGTCTTGTTTGTACGGGCCGTGCGCATGAATAAAATGACGCGAGTGAAACCGGAGCCTTTACGGGAGCTGTGGCAAACATCCAGAGTCAGATTACCCAGCAGTGGGGCTGCGCTGGCTTTGTTGATGAGTCCCTGAAGAGAGCGATACTAGAGCACAGCTGTAATGGAAAGACCTGTGAACAAGCACATTGTCTAATGCTATAAAGGTGGATTCTCATCACACACTCTGATCAGACGCCTCCCCCACTTGTCGCTCGGAAGCGGGAACATGAGAAGACAAATAAGGCACAAACAAA